CAGACTTGCTCAGTTTGAGAGGCCTCTCACCGAGTGCGTGGGGGGCAGTGTGGGGGGCAGGTTCCGAGGGCAGAATGACGAGCTGTGTGGGGGTGTCCTGGGAGAGGGGGAAGACGGGAGGCATGGGGCCGGGCACAGAGGCAGGGAAGCCGGGCGGCAGGTTCTGGTGCAGAGCAGGGTGCCCGAGGCCTGGAGAGACAGAGGACGTGGTCAGGGGCTACCCGGAGAACAAAAGCCCCACTGGTACCCGCCTGCCAAGCACTGACCGTAGGAGTGTCCCCCCATCCATAGAGAGGGACTGCGAGTGCGGGGCAGCCAGGGTGGGTGGGCAGGGTGAGGGTGGGAGGCTGGGTCCCCGCCCAGCTGGCTGTTCTGCAGGGAGGAACTGCCGGTGATCATGAGATGTGGGCCCAGGTCTCCAGGGCAGCTGCCTGATGGGTGCGTCCGGGCAAACTCCACCAGCTCCTTGCTGTCCCTGCGAGACCATGGCTCAGTCCACACCTGCTCCCGCCCCATCCCTACACACCGACCCTGTGGGCTCCTGGTGGGAGCCCCCTTTTCCCTCGTGGGGCAGCACCCCTAAAGCCTGCTCTGGGATTGAGCGGCCGATTCCCTCCCACGGCCACAGTGCGTGCTCTTACTGAAGCAAAAGCTCTCGGCTGGCCAGCCCCAGGCGGTCCTCACACAGGCGAGAGCGGTCCTCCTCAGCCTCGAGGCCCAGCATATGCATGGAGCGGGGACCACCACCAGCTGCACAGGGTGGGTAGAGGGGATGGGAATTGGGGCACCCAGCAGTCTCCTGGCCTTGGAAGGCTTGGAGGGGACCGAGGTCAGGTTTGGGGGGTGGGGGGCTCACAGGGCGGGGAGGGGGTGGACGAGGGCAGGAGCCCTGGGCATTGCCCACCTACTGCCTCTCCTGTGGGGGGTTCTTGCTCACCCTTGAAGGCAGGGGCTGCCCGGCCCTGCCGTCCGGAGCTGGTACTATAGATGTTCTCGGGCCGGTTTACCGTGTCCTTCTGCCGAGCCACAGCTACAGCAATGCCGACAGGAGGCTGCCGCACCTCCCCGTCACCATGTGGGGTGTCGTGCTCACGGCTGCGGGCACAGTCGGGCCGCTCCACCTCGCCTGGAGCCTTGGGAGCAGAGAACTTGGCTTCCTGCTGGACACAGCTGGCCTTAAGGCCGCCCAGACCCACAAAAGGTGCCTTCTGACCCACGACCAGAGCCTGGCTGCTGTACTTGAGCAAGTTCTTCATGGCCGAGACCTCATCCTGTGACGTGGGCAGCTCTTGGGGCAGAAGGGCTGCCGGCTGCAGGCTGCTGCTGAATGGGTCCAGGTAGGCGCTGCCCTTGCGTTCCTCGCCAATGGTCATGGTAGCCCCCTGGCTGGCCTGCACGCTCCACGGCGGCAGGTGGGGCCCTCCGTAGCCCAGTGCTGCCAACTCCAGCGACTTGCGCTTGCCCTCGGCCCCGCTGCATCCTGGGTCTCCCTCTGGAACCACCATGTGTTGCTGGTGCCGAATGCGGGCCACCTTCTGGACCGCGGGGGCGCCCAAAGAGGCCTCCTTGCTGGCAGCTTTGTCTAAAGTGCAGCAGACCTGGCTGATCTTCCCACCCAGTGGGTCCTGGTGACTCAGGTGGACACACTCCTGTGTGGGTGTGGGCAGCTCAAAGTAGCCATTTTTGTCCAGACTGCCTTTGGGGAGGCCGGGGAAGGGGGCCTCGGGGCCTGCGCTGGTGAGGTACTCCAGACTTTTGAGCCTGGGGTTCAGGGCTGCCTCGAAGCCACCCGTCCGCCGCTCGCCCTTGCCCTCAGCCTTCAGATGGGCATAGGTGACTCCATAGGGTGGGACGTGGTCAGCAGCCCCCTCCAGGTGCCGATCCTTGCCCTCACCGGCCACGGCGCAGGCCTCAGCAGTCTGAAAAGGGCGGCTCTTGTCGGCCAGGTGTCCCACGGAAGGCACGAAGGTGGGCCCCTTGGCCTTCAGGTCCCGGGGGGCTTTGTCCTGCAGTGGGCAGAGCCCATCGGGGCCAGCATGGAGCTGCAGGCAGGGAAAGGAGCTGGGGGCGGTGCTGAGGGGTGGCGGTGGTCCAGCAGGCAGGCCAGAGGGGACCGTGTAGGACACCTTGTGATGGAGCATCTGCCGTCTCTCCAGGCACTCGCTGAAGGCCGGCCCCGGCTCTGGGGGGCCCACCACCTCCTTGGTGCAGCGTCCAGGGGCTGCTGAACCCGCACCAGGCCGTACCAACATGCCCCCTGCACAGCTGGCCAACGCAGCCTTGCCCATGTCACCATTAAGCACCTTGGTGTTGAGGAGACAGGCAGCCAGGTGCTTGGCACGACCCTCGCAGGCCGCCCGGGGCACAGTGCCGTCTGGACAGTGCCCATCAGCTGGTATGGGCAACACCAGCCTGTGCCGCTCCTTGCTGCTGTCCTCCTCCGCTGCCGGCCGCTCCTTAGCCTCAGCCACCTTGCCAGTCTTCTCTTTGCCCAGCTCTTTGCCCATGAGGAAGCGGTCAAACTCCTTGGAGCCCTTCGGCAAGGGGCCAGCCTCGCCCCGCTCACGGCTGCAGGAGCCGACGGGGTGACCAGGGGCGGCTCGGGCCATGCCGGGAAAGTTGTGGTTGGCGGGTAGGAGCGTGGGCTGTGGGGGCAGGTTGCGCAGGTAAAAGTTATCTGTGTGCCAAGAGAGCCCAGATCAGGGGAGGTCCCTGGCAGGGCTGGTGGGCTCAGACAGCCCCACATACTTCTGCATCTGCCACCATCCTGCAGTACTGGCCTCAAGGTTGGGACCCCAACTCTGTCTCCACTGCTTGGCCTCAAGGGATTTGTGAAGGGAGAAAGGGGCTCTGGGGGGCTACAGGGTGGAGTCTGAGGACCGATACCTTCCCCTTCACATGAGCACACAAACACACTCACAATCACACAGGTGCACATTACACACACCTTCACAGGGCTCAGGTGGGGAGCTCAGGTGGGGATGCACAGGTGAGGGGTGCAGGTGGAGAGCTCAGGTTGGGGATCAGGTGGAAGGGTGAAACTGAAGGGGTGTGTCAAAGGGAGGCTGGGCTCTGGAGGACTTTCTAACCCTTGGGTTGTTGTTGTTAAGTGCCGCGGAGTCGGTTCCGACTATAGCGACCCTACACAGGGTTTCCGAGGCTGTAAATCTTTACGGGAGCAGAACGCCTCATCTTTCTCCTGTGGAACCGCTGGTAGTTTCGAACTGCTGACCTTGGGGCTTGCAGCCTGATTCATAACCTCAGTTCACTCAACCTCAGCCCTGATGTCTCAGGGTGTGCCATTCTGGGAGGGGACAGGGGCAGCCTTTAACAAAAGCAGCTGAAGAGACACCGTTGCCCTCAGCCTTCAGGTGGGCACAGGTGACATCACAGGGCATGATGTGGTCAGTCCCAGGGCATTGAGTGCCACCTCACCTGGCCCTACCTCACCAGTGGCTCTCAGTTCAATCCAGCAGCTCCTGCCTACCCACCTGCTGGGCGCTGGGTATACCAGGCTCCCTTCCTACCGGAGTTGAGGCTGCTCCATTCTCCCTGCCAGCCCTGGGGGAAACCCACTCACCGGGCAATCCCTGGGGGACTGGCCCCTCCCCTGTACAGCTAGCTGGGTGCTCAGGCAGCAAGGGATGGGGCTGGATGGCCTGGAGCTGAGGGAGAGGGACGGGCTGGGGGTAGGACAAAAGAAACATTTGGAACTTGTAAAACTGTCCTCAGTCATGTAAATTCCTTGTCAATTTCCTGCTAATTAAAAACAAGGGACAGGGGATAGGGAAGTGGGAGCCAGGGCAAACCTAATTAGCTCAATTTCCAAAACCAAATAATGTTCTTGGACGAGGCTGCACCACAGAGCTGCGAAGCTGTGCCCCAGCTCCATTGCCACCTGCCATCTGTGCAGCCCAAGGGAGGGGTCCCTGTGCTGGTCCCAGCGTCGGGTTTCCCAACTGGGGCCAGACACCTGCCCGCCCCTGACACAGGCTGTCAAAACAGCTGCATGGGCCAGCCCAGACTGATGAAGGAGCTTGCAGCCTGCAATGGGGGGGAGGGGCCTCTCCTGGCTGTTACCCATCCTTCCCAAAGCTATAACCTTTATCATAGCAGCCTCTAAGACAAAACCCCCAGAACCCTCTTCAGGGGGAGTCAGTGTACACCCAAGAGCTGAGGGAGGAGGCTTAGTTTTTCCAGCGTGGCTAGGATATCATCTCCTGGCAGACCTTCTGTTTTCTGCCTGAGAACAGGGTTGAGCCCACCCTGATTGGGCAGCTGGCCCATGCGGCGGAACAAGACCACGGCCGTTCTGAACCTTGACCGCAAATAGGCTTCTGCAAACCTGAGGTGAAGGCAGGGCCAGCCCGAGGTTCTGATTCTGAGGGAGGCATAGGGTGATGGCAGAACATATAGCAAGAGAACTGAGCTACTGACCACAGGGTCCCTTACCACTGTACTCCCAAACCTCCCCACTGGGGCCACCATGGCCACCTCCAGGCCCCCTTCCTTTCCTGGAACCCCTGTGGAAACTCTGCCTAACCACACTTCCTGAGGTCCATCTGGGGGCTTTAGGGACCAAGTCTTCTGCCCCCATCCAAGCCCCAGACTGAAAAGTGGGGCACCCAGGCAGCTGTGGAAGTATTTGTATTTGTCGCCGCCCACTTCCTCATCTGTCCAGCCACCTTGGAGTCACTCTCTGGCAGCTCCCAGTTCTCTATGAGCCACCCTCTCCTGCCAGGCTGCATCTTTAGCAAGGCCCGTATCAAGACATCTCTGACATACACACACAAACATGTGCACACGTGTGCATACGCACACACATGAACACACACAAGACACACAAACACACATGCACACATACGTGTGTGCACAGATCCATAGTCACATGCATGCACACAAACACACATGTGTGTACACATGCACAAGTACACACCCTCACACGTGCACACCCACATACATGATCACACACAATGCACACATGTGCACGCACATGTTCATACAGTCCCTACGTGTACATGCATGCACACAGATACACACATTCGAGAGCCCCAGGCCTTTACACATCTGGGCCATACCACTGTTCCATCTGGCTGCCTCTGCCTCATTAACAAAGACCCAAACTCAGGGTTCCCTCTCCCAGGACAAATCCCAGAGCTCCTTAGCCCTGAAGTGTCTAACTTCAGCATGGGGCCCACGGACAGCAGACAGCAGGCAAGAGCTGGCCTCAGGGCCCCTGTCTCTTCCCACAGGATGTCATCTTCCTCCTGAGCTACCCTGGCTGCTGTTGGGCCCAGGCAGAGTTGGGCTAGGCATCCCACCAGAGGCCAGCCTGTTATGATTGCAATCTCCTGAGCAGGAGGTGCGGACGGCAGCGATGGCATCAGAACTCTCCCCAATTTTGTGCTTTAGTCTGCTCTGGGCCTTGGTCTCTGAGACTGAATGCTGGGAGGGTCTAAGGCTAGTGGCTCAAAGCAGACCCTGCTGAGTGCCCACTTCCACCCTGAGGCCACTCCCCTGCCACACACCCCTGACGCACTGCAAACCACGCCCCCCCCACGGACCCACGTTGCCTGCCACTCTGTGCTCTGTCACTTGCCTTTTTGGGCTCCATAGAAACGATGCTGCCCGTAGAGGACATTGCTGTTTCCATGGTGATCCAAGTGGCTCATGGGTAGGAAGGTGGATGCCAGACTCCCAGAAAATCTGGGGTACCCTGGAGCTGGAGACACAAGGAGATTGCTGTGAGGCACCCCCCAGCCCAAAACCCTGGCCCCAGGGAGGCGGGAGCCGGAGGTCCTGGAGCGATGCCCTGTGGAGTTGGCCGCGAATGCCAGTGGGAAATCAACCCATCAATACTTCGTATTAACTCTGACTCCACTAATACCCTCCCTGAGTGTGGCACAAATTGAATTGCTGATGGGCTGGGAGTGAGGGAGGATGGAGGAGGGCCCTGCCTTTGATTCCCCTCCAGCAACACTTAGCTTTTGGGGAGTTTCCAGGGGGCTGACCAGCATGGGAGTGGGTGCAGTGGACAGAGAACCCTGTGGGAGGAGGATGGGGTGGGGACAAACAGGCCAGTGCTCTTCCTGCCTAGATGGCTGTGCAGTGAGCGGACTGCCCCTGGGAACCTGCTGTTCGGTGCTGAGCAGAGCGTGGGGTGTGGCAGGATTTGTAGGGTGGGGGATCTCTGAGATTTGCAATGGGAGCTCCAACCCCAAGAGTTTCCGCATTGGCCCCAAGACCACCCTGAGGCCTGCCAGGTGTCCCTGCAGGCAGCCAGAGTTCTAGGGCCTGAACTCAGCTTGGACCAGTCAGGGCAAGTGGCCCTGGACTTTGAGGCTGCTTCAGTTACCTGGGACAAGCCCCACCTGCCACGTCCCCCTGCCCCTGGAGCTGCTCAGACACCTGACACCCTCTCACCCCTATCATAGGGCAGACAGTAGCCAAGGGTGTCCTTCTAGGTGACCAAAGGCACTTGAAACTCAGGCTTCTCAGAGGGGGTCTGCTCCTGTTTGGACCCACGGGGAGGGATGGGGCAGAGAGGGCAGAGCAACAGGCCGGTCCGCCTGCTGGGGGGCTAGCCAGTCCTCACCCTGCTTGCTGCCACCTCTGAGGGCTGCCCTCCTTCCCACCGTGGCCCACAGAGTTCCAGGCTTTTCCTTACCAGATTCCTATGCTGCACTGTTCCATGGGGGTGGGAGCCCCCACGGAAGGACAGAGGACATGTTTATCCTAGCCCGTAGGGGTCTGTGGGTGACTGGGGGCCAAGGCAAACCTTTGTGGGGTGAATCACTTCTCCACCGTCTATAGACGAGCAATGTGGGTCGGGGGTGGGATGGCCAGCCTTCAGGCTCTGAAAGCTGGAAGGGCCTGCTCCTCTCCTGCTCAAGCCAAAGCCCTCATAAATGTCACCACTATCCTGACAGATGGCAGGGCAGAGCCTCCTGGGGCCCCCCAATGGAGTTGATGCCACGCAGGCAGTGAGGGGCACACAGCCTCTGTCCACGCAACTCCTGCATCTGTGTGGCTGGGGTTGCCGGCCACACTCCACACGGCTGACCCTTTGCACTAAGAAAGCCACCCCAAGATAGAAGGGGACAGCAGCAGAAAACCTCGATCGAACGCCTGTATCTCGGGACCCTTGGCTGTGTGTGTAGAATTCCAGCATATGGGACATCGTATCCATGACATACACTCTGAGGAACAGCCATCCACACCCAGTCAGCAGGCATCCAGAGAACCTGTGTCCAGTGCCTCCCAAACACTAGTTCCCAGTCCCTGGGCCGTGTTAATGCCAATCTTGACTTTGCTGAGCTGGCTGGCCATTTGGGCGCTGCTACCAACTCGACGGCACTTAACAGTAACAACAACCCTCACCCTCGAACCAGGCCTGAGGTACATGGGGTGAGGGCTCAGCTGGGGACGCTGAGGATGCCTGGGGCGGAGCCTGGAGCAGGAAGTGGTCTGTTATGAAGAGGAACCAGGCGTCTGTGGGGGTCCCCTAGTTTAAATGAGGTGCTGGTACTCCTCCTGGCAGACCCCTCAGCAGTGATGGGCCACTACTGTGCCCAGAAGGTGAACCCCTCAGATGCCTGTGCCCAGGAGAAACCCCATGCAAACCAGTCCTGAGGCAGGAGTGGAAGTGGCCGGAAGCGGGTCACCTGCCTGTACTTGGGGTAGTCCCCCTGTGTACTCCCCCTCCCCCGTATCTTTTAGAGGCCAGAGGCTGGGCAGGCAGGCGGGCTCAACTGGCTTGGTGAGTGTGTAGACACACATCTGGAGCAGATGTTTATTAGATTAACCTCAGCTCCTGGACGACTTGACAGAGTTGGGGGTGGGGTGGAGATGGGTGCACGTGGAGGTGGGGGCTAACCCACCCCAGCTGTCCATCTGTAACCGGCTGCTGCTAAATCTTTTATGGGGCCTCATTTTAGTCATCAGAAGTCTGTAAATTCCTCCCGCCAACTGCTGCTTCCCAGGTGCAGATGCCCCATGGCCCCTCAGAGGGCTGGACCCTACCCATCACCCAGACCCTACCCACTACTAGTTAGGGGGCCAGCCCTCCATCAACTAGGGGTGGGCTCCTTCCTGTCCAGCCCTCTTGGGTCAGTTAGTGTGGGGGTGGGTAGCCCTGGGGTGTCCCACTTCTGAGTCCCAGCTGGTTGCCATCCGGCCATGGAGCGGGGGTGGTGGGCTGGAAATGTGCCTGGGGATCTATGTTCCAAAGACTCCCAGCTCCTACCCTCGGGCTCATCCCCAGAAGACAGAGCTGAGGCTGGAGTCCAGGGAGCCAGGAGTGCGGTAGGCAGAGAGCAGGATCTGGCCTGGAGGAGTAAGGATAAAGGCCAAGGCAAGTGGGGGCCAGGGAAGGGGGCTGGGAGAGGAAGAAGCCAAGCAGGGGTCCAGTCCAGGGATAAAAGGGCGCCTTTCATTCTCACCCAAACACTGCTCTCTCTGAATTGAAAGAAAAAAATCAAAAATGGATTTTTACAAATGGAAGCAGCTGTGGAGTACTAGTAGCTGGTTGTTTGGATTGCCTGCCTTTGGGCAATACTGGCAGTCAGGGTCCTGGGAGGGCGGCAGACGCAGCCACGGGTCACAGGTCCCGAAGGCTTGCTGGCAGATACCCGGCTCCAAGGCTGGCGCTCTCAACATCAGCCCTCCTGGAAACAGTGTGACCCCCAAGTCCTCCCTTCTCTGGACCTCAAACCTAACTTAGCCGGAGAAATGATGAACCCCAGTTTGTAGACGAGAACCTGAAGCTTAAGTGACAAAGCTGCCCATTCACAGCGGGACCAGGACTGGAGGCCAAACCCCAGAAACCCTAGTCCAGGCTCACACACAAACTCAGTGGGGACCCTTTCTCAGGGTGCTCGTGAGCTTCAACGGCCAGTCCATTTGCTGACATTCACTACCCACAGTGCAGGGCGAAGGAAGGATTTTGAGGCTGCATCCACTGTGCCACAACGGACACATAATGTCTGCCAGGGCACAGGACAGAAGCATCATGGGTATTGAAGGGAGTCACTATGCTACAGCTCCCCACAACCCAGGGAGCTCCCTGCCACACACCCCGTTTCTGCCCACAGATCCTCAAGCCAGGCTCCTTCACTGTCCAGGGTGGCTCTTGAGAATGACTCCCACCACAGGGGACTACAAAAGCTCTGATCACCCAGTTAACTCACCATCTCCTCCAGTGGGGACTGGGGTGTGAGGCTCAGGGTTGGTTTCACAGTGATTCCTATTTCACTGCATCCAGCCCCTGACCACAGCCCACCTGGCTCCGGCCCACCTGGCTTGGATACTCACGTCCACTCCCTGACTCTAGCCCACCTGGCTCAGGTGCGCTCCATGCCCACCTGGTTTGGGTATTACATGTCCACTCACTGACACCACCCCTCAAGCCCACTTGATTCAGATTCTCTATGCCCATCCGACAATCTTTGACCATCCCAGGGCACTGGACCTGGCAGGGTCTGTCCACTCCTAGGCAAGAGGCTAGATAAAGACCAGGGTACCCCCGCAACAAGAGCCATGGACAGTCTGCTCAGGCCCCAGTGTGATGAGACAGTTTCGGGCCACCTGAAGCGGATCTGAAACCCAAGCAGGCCCAGCCCAGGGGTCAGGCAGCCCTGGGACCATACAGGCCTCAAGAAGAGGAGCTTAAAGCAGCTAGGAACAGCCAAGGTGTGGCCACCAATCTCCGCAGCAGCCCCCTCACAGCCTGGGTCTGCTCCCTCCAGTGTTTAGGACTGGGGAGGTACAGTGGCCTTCACAGCTGCTCAGCTGGACAGGTCACGGAAGGGGCCTACCAAGGAAGCTGATCTTCATTATTGAGAGGTTGGCCAGGTCTCACTGCACAGGTGGGAGCTGGGCTGTGGGACCCTCACTCCCAACACAGCAGAGGCCAGCAAAGCTCTGAGGCAGCTAGGAGGAAGCCATTATGACTGGGCTTAAATCCCGCCATGCAACTTCCTGTGCCTCACTTTACCCACCCGTACAACGGTGCCATAGCAGGGAAAAGCAGGTAGAGTGCTGCCCCAGGCACAATGTAGTGACCTCTGGGTAGGTCACAGCCATGCCACCTGCCTCATCCAGGGACCCCGCAGTGCCCCCAGGAGTCCCAGGCGAGATGGTTCAGCACACTCAGGGTTACTGCACGCTGATGGGACAGCAGGACCCCCACATCCCTAGACTTACACCCCCACCCCTCCCACACCCTGCTCCAGCATACCCAAGGGGACTCAGAGCAGCAGGGAGCGCAGCCCTGAATGGAGGGTGTGGTGCTGACCACAAGGTGGACCAGGCGGCAGGCAGCGGCTGGCATGTGGCTGGTGCTGCCCTCAGCTCTCCCTCCAGGTGGCACAAGAGACCACAAGTAGCCAGTTGAGGAGCCAGCTCAAGCCCCCTCCCCAGCTCAGTCACCAAGAACAGAATCTCTTTTCATCCGCCCTGTGGGTGGTCTGGACCTAGCAGCTGGGGGGTGGGGCAGTGGGAGGGGCTCTGTGGGCTGACAATAGGACCAGCTGTGCCGCACCCCACCCCCGCTCTGACCCACCCAGGACAGGCTGGCCACAGCTCAGCTCACCTCTGTCCTGGGCCATTTCCGCTGTCCAGCCCATCCCCAAGCAGCCTGTGGAGGGCCCCTCATCCTGGGCAGGTTGCAGGGAGCTGTGCCCAAAGCCAGATGTTATAGGGCGTTCCTCCGGCTGCCCCAGCAGGAGGCAGGAAGGCCCCCCCTCCCGCAGCTGCCCCACAGATGGGGGCTGGTCCGGGGACAGAGGCAGGGGTGCTGCCCACTGGCTGGGAGGCCCCTTCCCTGCCTGCTCTGGATGGGAAAGGGGGCAAGCTGGCCGTGCAGGGCACCTGCTTTCCAAGAAAGGGAGTGAGCGGCTGAGGGTCCGGTTAGACTTTGAGCAGCCGCCCATAGTCCACCGGGCCTGGCGGCCCCCCATCTCACACAATCACATGCTCCTGGCCCACTGCACCCCCTCCCCGAACACACACGACACAGGAGCAGGCCCCGGCACACGGGAGCCAGCTGGCACTCCGTCAAACGAGCAGCTGGGCACTCGGCCAGGGCAGCCTGCCAGCCAGCCTGCCACTCGTCCCACCCAGCTCCCACCGCCGGCCGTGCGCTCCTGGCTCAGCAGCGGCCACCACGAGGCTCGGTCACCACGCGGCTCAACCACTGGGCTAGAGAAGCCTGGCAGTTAGGGGGTCCCAGGGCAGGCAGCTGAACTGAAGGCAGTGGTCAAGTGGGGAAGGGGTCTACTGGGCCATGAACACAGTGAGTAGCATGGCACTCTGCCACCCTCTGGGGGGTATCTTGTGCCTCACCACAACCCCACACCATCTTCACTGAGACTGCAACTGGGCGGGGGGGGGGGGGGGGCTCAGAGACCCCTGGTTCTGCCTCTACATCAGGACCCACTGCATGTGCCACTGCCTGCTTACCTGTGCCCCTACGAGGGCAGGAGCCAGGGAGGTGCACACAACGGCCCCTCCTGCTCAGACTGCCCTGCCCCCCTACCTGGCTGCCGGCTTTCCACCAACGTGGCAGGGCAGTGGGGTGCGGGGGTGGGGGGAGTGGGGGGCATGGCAGGTTGGGGGCATGGCCAGGCAGTGGCAGGCACCCACCCACCCACCCAGGGCAGCCGTTGGCAAAGGGGAAGTTAGAGGTGAGAGCTGCTGGGGGCCCTGTCTGTCTGCAGGTCGTCTCTGCTCACCCTCCAGGCAGCCCCAGGGGGCCAGACTGGGGTGTTTCTACTGGGCCTCAGGGCAGGTGGCAGTACCCACAAACCGCCCTCCTGGTTGGTGGGGTCCCCAAGGGTGGGGCAGAGGAGGAGGAACCATGTCCTGCAAATGTTCTAGGGACACAGCGCCCTCGGCAGGGACAATGCTGCTAAGAAGAGTAAACCAAGTCAGCCCTGCCTGGCACACCCTCCCCACCTGTGGCTGGGGAAGTGGGCCGTTGTTTCTGTTGCGGTGACTTCCCAGGATGCTTCATGTTCAGTCACTCGCCCCTTCCATGGTATCCCGAGGCCAGATGCCACCACCAGGACCCAGGGGTTTGCCCAGCAGACAACAGCCTAGGGGGTTGGGAATCCCAAGTCTCCCGTGCAGGGGACTGCTCCTCTCTGTCAGCTGTAAGGAGGCCACTAGAGCATGGGTGGGGAGCTTGAGACAGGGGAGCCTGCCCACCTGGGTCCTGGGACCCTGCCAGGGCCCCTCCATGGGAAGGAACGAACTCCTTATCACCTGCCCAACATGTGTGCTCCGTGTGCGCTGAGCCCAGATTATTTTAACAACTGTCCCTCACTTGTCACCTGTCCTGTTTGGAAAACAGCCTCTTTCTTGTAGCACAAAGAACTGTGGATCTCCAGGGGTGCCGGGCGCTAATCTCCCAGCCTGGAACGCGGGCGGGCGGGCAGCGGGCAGCGGGTACGGTGTGTGTGGGTCTGCTGCTCTGTAAACACGGCGCCCGCCACTCCGCAGTCATTGAGTTACGGCAGTGCCAAGTGCCAGGAGCAGGGGCCCCCTGTGCCCGCTGCCAGCTGCAATTACTTCTCCGCGTGCCAGCCGCCAGAGAGGGCTTAACCCTCACCCTGCCTCAAAGGGGAAGGACGTCAGGACCAAGGGCTGCTGTCCAGATCTCGCCAGGGGGCTGGGATGGGGGTGTCACCTTGGGAAAGAACACAAGCTGAAGGAAGCCTGAGGCCTTAGAGGCTGACCTCCAAGAGATGGACCTGCATCTATGGGGCACCTACAGTGTCACCAGGCTGCGTCCAAGCTAGGCCCCCAGGGTGGCAGGCCGTGCATGTTGACAGCTCTCTCTCCCTGCCCCTCCCAGCTGGAGCCCATGTCTTTCTGAGTCCGGGAGAGAGGCACAGCCCTCGGTGAAGGGTACAGCCTGGCCAGTCATTCCAGCTGTGCTGCACATTTCCGTAGCTTTCTGCAGCCCATCCCTGCCCCCACTCTTTTCCCTCTCTGCCCATCTGGAGCCACATCTGGCCAGGATACTGCCTGATGAGGCTGGCTCCTGCTTCCAAGCAGTTACCCCTTTCCCACCCCCGAGGCCCTGATGGTCCACTTGGTCATCATGGTGAGCCTGGGGCCCTGGCTTACCTTCATGGGAGTGGGAGAACCAAATCTGGGAGGGGGCCGGGTGGGAGCCACGGTAGGCCTGCTCGGAGGGGGCAGAGGTGGGGCCGCTGGGGTGCGCAGAGGCAGCTGAGCCCAGGCTGCTGGTGAGGAAGCTGCTCATGAACGATGAAGCTGGAGAATTTCCCATCAGACGGCTGCTGGCTGTGGACACAGGGGGCAAAGTGAGCAGGGGCAGGTCTGAGGGCACGGCTCAGGGTTGGCATCGCAGCAAAGGAGTCTTTCATGGGTGACTCTTGGGCTCCAAAGTCTCCCGAATCTTTGTCTCCAAAAACCCAGGCAAAGGTGTTCACAAGGGCGCCTGACAGTCAGGCTCCGGCCCAGGTCTCTTTGTGCCTTAGGCACCTTGGCACAGACACTTTCCCTGTTACTGCAAGACCTCCCAGAACTGTCACCTAAGCCACACCATCACTGACCACCAAGACTGTCATCATCATCATTGTTACCATCACCACCACCACCATTATTACCATCACTACTACCACCACCACCATCATTACCATCACCACCACCACTGTTATCGTCATTGCCAACACCACCAATATGGTTACCATCACCATCATCACTGTTACCATGATTACCAACACCGCCATCATTGTTACCATCACACCCACCACCATCACCATTATCATCACCACCACCACCACCGTTCCCATCACCACCACCATCATCACTGTTACCATGATTACCAACACCGCCATCATTGTTACCACCACCATCAGACAACCAGGTATCAGGCACTGTAACAAGTAAGTCTGTTCCCAGGTGAGCCTTCTTGGAAGCCAAGCATTCTGACTCTCCCAGGCTAAGGAGATAGCTCCACGGCCTCTCAGATGCCAGCCGTCTGCAACTGGCTTTGCCCCCACTTCCCTGAAAGTATCAAGTTGGCACACCTAGGAATGGGGTCATCAGGGCCCAACAGAGGCCTCACCACACCCCCATCAGTCCAGCAGTTCCTGCCCACCTTGAGCAGCACTGGGAAGGATGGATGGATCTCTCCTTAGGGTCAGTGAGCTGATTTGTCTTGTGGGTGTCTGGTCCCAGGTAAGCTGGGGTAACCCCTGAGTCAGAGGAGAGTGAGCAGGATGGAGGATGGGGAGAAGCTTGAGATTACAACTGCAGTGACCTGCTCGGAGTCCCTCAGCGTCCAGCCATGGCCAGTGCAGGCTTCGAGCTGCAGACAGCAGCAATGTGTCCTGGGCAGGATGGTGTGCTCGGCGTTTTCCCTGGCACCACATGTCTGCGTGCAGCCAGACTCCCAAGCTCTCCATGCCCACCCTCTTCCTTGTCCAGTCCAGTGGCCAAGGCCAGGCCTGGGTTCCCCCCCACCCCCACGGGACTGAGTTGGCCTCCCTGTGTTGCCATGACTACTGGCTGCTCACAGGAGAAAGGACACAGGCGGACACAGGCGTTGTACAGAGAAGTCTAAGTCTGACTGTCGGGTGGGGAGCGGGGCCTGGGGGCTGCAGTGGGCACTGGGCTGAGAGCCCTTGGAACGGTAGGGCTCTCAAGAGGCACAGGCCCAGCCCTGGTGAGTCAGGACAGTTGTTCCTCGCCACAGGGCAGGGGGATTTGTGAATGTGAAATGCCTCATCCAAGAGTGAGCCCTTGGAACTTCCCAGACTCGGGTGAGTCAGCAGAGACTCGAGGCTGGGGCTGCCAGGAGAGTCCAGGGCCCGGCCCTGGCCCTTTGAGTGAAGCACCGGTGGGCTGCAGACTTGTATAGGATCTCACACCTCTGCGCCCAGACACAGCCCAGAGGAAGGGCAAGCAGCGGGGGTGGCAGGGTCTAGGCTGACCTTGGGGACTAGGGCGGAAGAGTAGGCCCTCAGACCCCAGGAAGAGAGCCAGGGATTTCCCGGCTGGCCACAGGGCTGGGGCTGAGCAGAGGCCAGACCGCATGGGGCTCGGCAGGGAGGAAAGGACTGCTGGATCCGGCGGGCCAAAAGGGCGGCGCTGACGGCTCACTCCCTCCAGGGGCATGCCTGTGGGGTGAATGTACTCTCTGGGGGCACAGCTTCCTGCTGGCCAGGCCCCAAGGCCCCCACCTCACCCAGGGAAGTCCCTCCGCCCCCGTCCGTCCACCCGGGATGGTGGGAAGTAGCCTCAGCCAAGAGCTGGGTCTGGATCCAGAGCTTGAGGGAGCTTGGCCTGGGAACTCAGGACCTTGAGCCCTCCCATGTGGCCCGGAGAAACTGAGGCACAGAGGAAGCTCCATGTGGGGTCTGGAGCCGGGCAGAGTGACCAGGCTCTGGTGCCCCCACCTGGCCTGGAGTCTGGAGGCTGTATTGCTTGAGGTGGCCAACACCCCAAGCCCCACCTCCAGCCTGGGGTCCCTGCCCCCAAATCTGGGATGCAGCAGATCATGCGATGGAGGGTCCCTTCAGGTCCCTTCCCAGCTCCGGACCTTCCAGAGCTCCCTGCCTAAGTAGCTCCTGCACCCTCATCGATGGGCCTTCCACGGGCCCCTTCCCACCCTGGATCTCCCCTTTCCACTGGGAAGGAGCGCAGGCTTACCCTGTCCCCATCTCAGGATATCACATCCTTGTCCCGTCCATAGGGGGATGACCACCTCCAATACTGTTTCTTTTCTCCAGTGCTTCCGGCCACGCTTCCTCAGTGCTACCGCAGAATGATTCAGTGCACCCCGAGTCCCATGCTGAGACCCCCATGTGCCCAATACACCAGGGAGACAGTGCACCCCAATGCCAGTGCTGAGACCCCACGCGCCCAGCCCACCAGGGAAGGCTTAAACGTATATTCCTGCCACAAGAACACTTGGGGAAAACGGCACCTTTTCCTGATGCCTGACTCATGGACACAGAGCAGGCAGGGCGCCACACTCTTTACTCCAGACACTCCATGGCGGGCAGAGGGAGCCTGTGGGGAGGGGACTGTGGGCACCAGAGCGTCCTCAGTCCCACTGTCCCTGAGCCGACTGGGAAGCCCTCAGAACAGAGCACCCCCACGCCCACCCTGCCGCGGAATTGTCCCCTACACCTCTGAAAGGTCTGGCCGATGGCACCATGCCTACACCACTTCCCCAGCCCCTTCCCTGCCCGCTGCCCAGTAGCCAAATGGCAGACAGCTGTGCAAAGCCTTTGGGTCTGAGCCAGCCGAGCGCACGGGCAGCAGGTGTGGCCAGAAAGTGGGCTGAGGGCTCCTTTCATCTTCCTGGGCCAACCTCCCCACCCCCAGTCCAGGCCCAATGACCCTGCAAGTCCTGTGCCCTGGGACTTTACAAGCCTCCTGCTGGTTAGTGGCCCTGAACTCCTGAGAATTGGGGACCCTGCAGGGTAGATCAAGTCAAAATCATCACCCCAGGCAGGGTGTGAAGGAGGCCTGGCCCTCCCAGTTGCCCTGGCCCCCTCCAATAGCACATGTACCAGGGCTGTGGGGTGGGACTGAATGGCGTGGGAGGCACTGCCAGCCGGCCCAGTGTCTCCTGATTGTTCAGAAGCTGTTTGCTGGACTTTAGAGTCCACGTTAAGACATAGGGTCCAGCTCTGAGGCCACTCAGCCTGCCTAGTTCACCATGGAGGCCTGGCCTGGGCGCCAGGCTGGCTGAGAAAACCGCTCCAGAAGCCAGGACACCCAGGAGGGCCGGCTGACACCCCCTCAGACTCCCCTTCCAGGGAGGTTTGCCTGGTAGCTCAGACCTGGCCTAGGGCCGGAGGTACACCTGGACCCTAACTTCAGTGGCCCCACCTCTCCCACTGTCCCCTGGGCCCCTGGTGACAGGGTTTAAACACCACAGCTGGGCTGGGACTCCATGGTGTCCCCAGGACCCCGAGTTACCCCAATCCAACCCCTATACCATGCGGCACTAAACACTGTGTGAAGTTTCTGGGCACACAGCAGGTGTCGGCAAATTGGAACTGGTCACTGGAGGTGGTGGTAGGTAGCCAGGCAGGGTGGGGGGCCTGGGTTTCCTCCCACCAACCGGCCAAGCTGGGCAGCTGACATGTGTCAGCTTTGAGACCCTCACCCTTGGTGGATCTGACTCAACAACACTCCTGCCAAGCTCCCTACACTTGAGGGTGCAGATGCCACAGCACCCTAACCCTTCTCCTTGTGTCCCCACCTCCCAGCCTTGAAGGGATGCCAGGTGAAGGGGGAGGCGGGCAGGGACAGCGGGGCCTCTGTGCAGCAGACCGGCTGCGGGAACCAGGACCAGAGCAGCAGCGTTTGTTTTCAGTCAGTGAGCCACCGCACCCTCCTCTTCGGGAAATTGCCAAATGGGTTGTAAAAAAAAAACAAAAAAAAAAACGAAAAAAAGGGCCTCATGGAGCTTGGCGGCAGCGGCGGCAGCGAGTAGCAGGTCTCTTCCCCAGCTCTCAGCGCGAACTCGCTTCCGGAAGCCCAGCTGACGGGCTGCTGGCACCAGCAAGGCCCGGGCTCAGCGTCTGGCGGCTCTGCCAGTTCCCACCCCTCCCGCTCACACCCGATCCCGCTCCCAGCTTCCCACGGCTCAACCGGCTTCCTGCCCGAGCCTCGCGCCTCCCCCGTCTGGCTGCAGAGCAGGGAGGCCCGGCTCCCCCGGGGCTGTCCCTTCGGTCTCCCTGGGAGACACCAGGGGCTGCTGGGGCACTGAGGTGGCGGGCGGGCCTGCCGACATCCAGCCAGGCCCCAGAGGAGCCAAGCTGAAGTGTAGAGGGGGGCTGCAGTCCACACAGTTGGCCCCAATTTTGTTTATTCCTGTGAAGGGAAAGGAACAGGGCGGGAGGGGAGGGGAGGCCAAGGAACCTGTGAAACTGTCTGTCTGTCTGACCATGAGCCCAGCCAGAGAAACAAGAGGAGGAGAGAGGAGATCCAGCCCTGGTGGGAGGGTCACTCTGTCCCACCCCCCGTCGGAAGTTGGGATTCCAAGGCCATGTTACATCCCACGCCCCCTGAGACGCCTGTCCGCTGTGAGTGTGCATGTGTGGCTTGCAGCGTTTGAGTGAGGGCGCCCACATGGCCTCTGGCTGTGTATGCCGTTAGGAGTATGCACACAACTCTGTGTCTGTACATTCCTGGGGGTCCTGTAACCTCTCAGTGATGCTCCCCATCTGTGCGGTGTGTGTATGCAACACACCTGTGGGAGGGACAGGGAGCGTGACCTGTGCAGGTTGCTGCATCTGAGTGTATGCCTCCCGGCTTCT